CTCCCTCAATGGTCCGAATTTCAACCCCTGGAGTCGAGCAATGCTCATTGCTCTCACCGCAAAAAACAAATTATGTTTCGTCGATGGTTCTCTTCTTCGACCTGAAACTACTGATCTTCTTTTTGCTGCTTGGACCCGATGCAACTCCATGGTGACTTCCTGGCTTCTCAACTCTGTATCCAAGGAAATTGCGGATAGTTTGATGTATTTTTCCACCGCCTATTATCTTTGGGAAGACCTCCGTGTTCGATTTCATCAAGCCAATGGACCACGTATATTTCAATTAAAACAACAAATCTCCTCAGGGTAGTCTGGACATCAACACATATTACACGAAATTGAAGATTCTTTGGGATGAACTCAGAGATTATTCTCCCAATCCTGCTTGCACATGTGGTGCTCTTCGGCTTCTGTCACAGACTCAACAACAGGACTATGCAATGCAATTTTTAATGGGATTGAATGACTCATTTTCTTCAATCAGAGCCCAGATTCTGCTTATGGAGCCACTTCCTCCATTATCGCGTGTTTTCTCCTTAGTCATACAAGAGGAACGTCAACGACAAATCACACCCTCTTTTCATCCCTCTCTTGACACTCCAATGATGAACACAACATCTGGGTTTCCTTCTGCTTCCGTCATGGATTCATCATCGTCGGTCACCGCTGCCGTCACCGCCCAACACCGCCCTCGCCCTTACTGCACTCACTGCCAGCAGTTGGGTCATGTCTGGGACAAATGTTTTAAGCTCCATGGCTTTCCCCCAGGCTACAAACCTAGAAGCCCCAAATATCCACCTGGCCCACATCAGCCTCAGGCCCAAATTCACCTATCCACATCTCAGCCCACCTTCTCTCCACCTCACGATCCCCTCACCCCCACTCAGTACCATCAGTTACTTTCTCTTCTCAACAAAAATCCTGAACCCACCGCCTCCACCCCTTCATCCGATTTACCTTCCACTCCATCTTCAGCTATAAATCCCATGATCGCAAGCTACAGTGGTAAGATTTCTTCATTCATTCCTTCAAACTACTGGGTACTTGACACTGGTGCCACCCACCGTGTCACTTACCTTTCATCTCTGATTTCACATCCTTTATTTCATTCTTCTTCAGGTTCTATTTCCCTTCCTAACGGTTCTAATATTCCAATTTCTTCTGTTGGAGATGTTTCCCTTTCTTCTTCGTTAACATTACGTTGTGTTCTTTTTGTTCCTTCATTTACTTTAAATCTCATCTCTGTTAGCGCTCTCACAAGAGATTCTAACATCATTGCCATTTTTTCTGGTTCCTTTTGTCTCCTCCAGGATGCTATAACTCACAAGACGATTGGGATTGCTAAGCGCACGGGTGATTTGTATTTATTTGATTCATCAAATTTCTTCCCCATTTCTGATGTTCCCCATCCCCATTGTTCTGCTTCTATGTTTCCTTCTTATGTACTATGGCATTCTCGGTTAGGCCATCCATCCCCTTCCTTTTTACAATCAATGAAAAATACTTTGCATTTTACAGACACCATCTCACATACACCATGTTCTGTTTGCCCTTTATCTAAACAAAAAAAATTACCATTTATTTTAGATCCTCATATGTCTGCCAATCCTTTTACCTTAATACACTGTGATATATGGGGTCCATTTAACCCCATTTCTGTTTGTGGTAATAAATATTTTTTAACTATAGTGGATGATGCCACACGGTTCACTTGGGTACATTTTTTAAAAAATAAATCTGTTTTTTCCACATTCTTTCCTTCTTTTTATAACTTGATTCATACTCAATACTCTTCTCCTATAAAAAGCATTCGGTGTGACAATGCCCCTGAGTTTCATCTCCCTGATTTTTATTCCTCTAAAGGCATTCAAGTATTTCATTCCTGTGTTGAAAGTCCTCAACAAAACTCAGTTGTTGAGCGCAAACATCAACACATTTTAAACGCTGCCCGTGCCCTGCATTTCCAATCCCATCTTCCTCTGGCATACTGGACTGATTGTGTTCTCACTGCAGTTTATTTAATCAACCGTATTCCTTCTCCACTCCTTCATCATAAAACTCCTTTTGAAATTCTCTCCCATAAACCTCCTTCTTATACTCACCTCCGTAATTTTGGTTGCTTATGTTTTTATTCCACTCTCTCTCGCAATAAACACAAGTTTTCTCCTTGTTCATCATCTGCTGTCTTCCTGGGATATCCCCCTGGCTATAAAGCTTACAAGCTTCTTGACTTATCCACCAATCGAATAGTCATTTCTAGGGATGTTGTCTTTCATGAGTCTATTTTTCCTTTTGTTTCCTCAACTCCTTTCTCCACTCCACTAAATTCATTACCTACTATATCCAAATCTGTCCCTCACAATGTTACCACTGCAGCCTCTGATCATCTTCCTAGCAGGCCTTCTCGCACAAAAAAGCCCCCACCACATCTTTCCGATTTCGTTTGTTCAACCTCTACCATACATCCTATCTCTGCCCACTTATCATATTCCAAAATTAAACCTTCATACCTTACCCTCATTAATAATATTTCTTCTCACTTTGAACCTTCCTCATATGCTGAAGCCTCTCAATTACCCGAATGGTGTGATGCCATGAATGCAGAACTCGCTGCTCTTAAACACAATCAGACATGGTCCATTGTCTCTCTGCCTGCAGGTAAACATCCAGTGGGTTGTAAGTGGGTGTATAGAGTGAAGTACAAATCTGATGGGTCTCTTGAGCGTTATAAAGCTCGTTTGGTTGCCAAGGGGTTCACTCAATTGGAGGGTTTGGATTATATGGAGACTTATTCCCCTGTTGCAAAAATCACAACAGTTCGTCTTCTTCTTGCTCTTGCAGCTATACACAATTGGCATCTAATTCAATTAGACGTCAATAATGCTTTTTTACATGGAGAGCTTGCTGAAGAAGTTTACATGTCTCTCCCACCCGGTTATTCTACACAGGGGGAGTCTCTTCCATCCAATGCTGTCTGCAAGCTTCATAAATCACTGTATGGTTTGAAAAAAGCATCTCGCCAGTGGTTTGCTAAGTTTTCCTCAATCCTTTTATCTCTTGGTTTTTCCCACTCTCAAACTGATCATTCATTATTCACCAAAATTTCCAATGATGCTTTTGTTGCTGTTCTAGTATATGTTGGTGACATACTAGTGGCCTCCAACAATCCTGATCAGGTCCTTCATCTCACTTCTTTCCTGGACAGCAAATTTAAATTAAAGAATCTGGGCTCTTTGAAATACTTTCTTGGCATTGAGGTGGCTAGGTCCTCTGCTGGCATATCCATTTGTCAACGTCATTACACTTTACAAATTTTATCTGATGCTGGTTACCTTGGCTGCAAACCAAAGTCCACACCCATGGAACCCAATCTCAAGCTCTCCTCCACTATAGGTGACCTTCTCTCTGATCCCTCACTTTACAGAAGACTGATTGGCCGTTTATTGTACTTAACAATAACCCGGCCGGACATCTGTTACACGGTTAATCATCTCAGCCAATTCATGTCTGCCCCTAGAGCTCCCCATCTTGCTGCTGTTTACAGGGTGTTGGCCTATTTAAAGGGCACTCCAGGTCAAGGTTTACTATTTTCTTCATCTTCAAAAATTCAATTCAATGCTTTTTCTGATTCAGACTGGGCTTCTTGCCCTGACACTAGACGGTCCATTTCTGGTTTTTGTGTTTTCTTAGGAGATTCACTAATTAGTTGGAAATCAAAGAAACAAGCTACTGTATCCAAATCCTCCGCTGAATCTGAGTATAGGTCCATGGCTGCTGTCACTTGTGAAATTATTTGGTTATTTTCTCTACTTAAAGATTTTCACATTCCTCATTCTGCTGCTGCTCACTTATTTTGTGATAATACTGCTGCCCTCCACATAGCTGCCAATCCTGTGTTTCATGAGCGAACAAAGCACATTGAAATTGATTGCCACTTGGTCAGACAACAGATTGTTCAAGGCTGTCTTCAAACTTTTCCCATTGCATCTGCACATCAGTTGGCTGATATCCTCACCAAGGCACTGCATCCTGCTCAGTTTGCTTCCCTGCTTTCCAAGATGGGAGTGCACAATATTCACTCTCCATCTTGAGGGGGAGTATTAGAATATACCATTTTATTTAATTTCTGTTTCTAGTCTCTGATGTATAGGATAATTAGCTATTGGCTCATGTGCCACGTACACCTCAATTTGTTATCTTCTCTCTCTTTTCTGTTAGCATACCCTTTACTGTTATAAAGAGCAATGCTCTCTGTACTCACTCACTGTGATCCAAGATAATGAAATCGGTTACTGATTCTTCCAATATTTTCTCCTAATATGCTACGATCGAGTTGCATTGTGCAAATTTCATATGCAAATTAGATCTTCCTAAGCCATTATCAGTGTTTGTTGATTGCTTAGACTGTCTTATACTTAAAAATATAGAAACTATTCGTTTACAAAAAAAATTTAAATTTTTTTAAAATTTACACTATGTCTTCTTGGAAGAACTACAGTACTTTATAAGAGTTTGTAAACAAAAAGTTTGTAAATATAATTCTCCTTTAAAAATATTATACTTTGGATCTCATTATTTTGCCATAGTGAATTTGAATTTGTTATTTTATCTTCCCGTCATATTAATTAGACTGACTTAATTTTCGTTTTTGCGAATCACCTTGAATGAATAAATTAATGTTATATTTTGTTAAAAAAAAAAAAGAACGAAAGAAAATACCATGTAGGCTGTAAGCCTGATCCTCCTTTGAAAATAAGATTTTACGTAAAAACATAAGAAAGATAAAAAATTATAAACATAAAATTTTAACTTAAAAAAAAATTAAAAAAACATAAAAATACATGGAATATTGATAAAAACGTTTTGACCGAAAAAAAGAAAAGAAAAAACGGAGTGATAAGATAAACCACTTGTGTTGTGGCACGCAGTTTTCGTGGATCGGTCATTCGAAAACCACTTGTGTTACCACTTATCACTTGATGACCACAATACTAAAAAAAATTAAAAACCGCCAACAGTTACATGGTTGTGAACTTGTGCGTAGCGAACCTAAGGCGCCGCTTGGAAATAAAACAAGAGCGGTAGCCAAAGTGGTTTTGTTTGGTCCAACGTTTGGGTGGTTTGGTTTTCCCGGGTCTACAGGCTCCAGCTATAAATTAAGTCCACAAAGGCAGGGTTTGTTCGACATGTACCAACTCTCTCATCAATTCTAATCAGTTGTCAGAATCATCGTATCCGTTGATTCATCTTCATTCTTAGTAACTAGTAAGCCATGTCGAGCACAGCTGGCCACGTCATCAAGTGCAAAGCAGCGGTTGCTTGGGAAGCAGGGAAGCCACTGGTGATGGAAGAAGTAGAGGTGGCTCCACCACAGGCTGGTGAGGTGCGTTTGAAGATCCTCTACACTTCACTTTGCCATACGGATGTTTACTTCTGGGAAGCCAAGGGCCAGACTCCATTGTTTCCTCGTATTTTCGGTCATGAAGCTGGAGGGTACGCTTCTCTTCTAAATACTACTTTCATATTATAATATATATATTGTTACTTCGAATTAGTGTTACTGTCAATATCATTATCAGTTAATTTTACTCTTAGATTAATCCAACAATTATATTTATTTTTAGTATTAAAAGAAAGAAACTTCAACATAATCGATGTAAAAGTTAAAAAAAACAAATTGAGTAGTACATTAACAATATATATCCTATGTCTTGTTATTGTAGTATTTAACGCGTATACATGTTATGGATAATGTTTGTCATTCAGGATTGTGGAGAGCGTAGGCGAGGGTGTGAGCCATCTGAAACCAGGGGATCATGCCCTCCCTGTATTTACAGGAGAGTGCGGGGAATGCTCACATTGTAAGTCAGAGGAGAGCAACATGTGTGATCTGCTAAGGATCAACACTGATCGAGGTGTCATGATCAATGACAGCCAGACAAGATTCTCTATTAAGGGACAGCCCGTGTACCATTTTGTGGGTACATCTACATTCAGTGAATACACTGTGGTTCATGCTGGATGTGTTGCAAAGATCAACCCTGCTGCCCCACTTGACAAAGTTTGTATTCTCAGTTGCGGAATATGCACCGGACTTGGTGCTACTATCAATGTTGCAAAACCAAAACCTGGTTCTTCTGTTGCCATTTTTGGACTTGGAGCTGTTGGCCTTGCTGCTGCTGAAGGGGCAAGGATTTCTGGTGCATCAAGAATCATTGGGGTTGATTTGGTTTCAAGCAGATTTGAAGAAGCTAAGAAGTTTGGTGTCAATGAGTTTGTCAACCCAAAAGATCATGACAAACCTGTTCAGCAGGTAATTGCTGAAATGACCAATGGAGGTGTGGATCGTGCTGTTGAATGTACTGGAAGCATCCAGGCTATGATCTCAGCATTCGAATGTGTCCACGATGGTTGGGGTGTTGCTGTACTTGTTGGAGTGCCAAACAAAGATGATGCATTCAAAACTCATCCTATGAATTTCTTGAATGAGAGGACTCTTAAGGGTACCTTCTATGGTAACTACAAACCCCGCACTGATCTTCCATCTGTTGTGGAGAAGTACATGAAAGGGGAGCTGGAACTGGAGAAATTCATCACTCACACAGTTCCATTCTCGGAGATTAACAAAGCTTTTGATTACATGCTTAAAGGGCAGTCCATCAGGTGTATCATCCGCATGGAGGAGTAAAGCCTTAAAACAATTATGCAATAATGGTCCGGTCCCCATTGGGGGACGAATTAAGTTCTCTTTCTGGTTGTGTAAAGAAAAAGAAAAAGAAAATCATATATATAATCCATTTGTGAAGTTTTAAGTTTGAATTAATGTAGAGAATGATGGTGCCTTTGCTACTGGGATTGTAAAATGTAGAGAACTGTGATTCACGTGCAAGGAGAATAAGCAATGCTATGATTGAAGAGACGAGAAGAACACAGATAATAATAAAAAAAAAGGTAAAGAAATACAGAGAATGTATTCATATTACAATATGTTCACATATGTCAGATTGATTCTATTAAAATTTGGTGAAAAAGCAAATAGGAACTGCACCTTGTCTAGTTTTGGTGATAACAAAGAAATGAAGCCATAGTATTTAACAGTTTGTTTAGTTTTTTAAAGTTTGTTACAGAACTTAATTTGTGACGAAGAGACTGTAATACAATATTGTCATGAAATCGTGATGATCAAAGTTGCAAGAAAAAATCTTAGATTTCATGTAATGGTTGGATGAAGTGAATCATAATCATGTCCTGGGTTAGAATGTTTTGAAAACTATAGTAAGAAGATTTAAAAGTTTTATTTTTAATCCAAATATATTTTTAAGATTTTATTTTATTTTTAAAAAGATAATTGCAAAGTTTTAAAAAAATCATGATAATATTGAGATTTTCTTTAATAATTAATTTTGAGAGAAAATCAATAAAAACCATACCTTGAGTCTTTCTTCAGAGAGTGGGTGAGTCAGCATTCAAAAAAGAAATGTTTTGTGAGCTTTCAATAGAAAAAGTGTGAGCATTCAAAAGAAAAAGATTTTTGAGCATTAAAGAAAAAAGATTTTTTTTTAGCATTTAAGAGAAAAAGTGCATTGAACATATTATGAGTATTTCTTCTCAAGGCGCATTCAAAACAATTTGGGAACCAAAGACATGAGCAGATTCATTGAGTCTACCACTTAGTTTTTATTTATACTTATTTGCTTATTATATAGAAGCATATAAAGTAACCAGTTTTAATTGAATTTTCTTCTTAACCTTGAAAAATATGATAGACTTAAAAATAAGTCGGCCTTTATTCATTGCGAATAGAGACGGAAGCCGTTTGGCTTTGAAAAGTCTTTAATTAGACTCCATGAGAATCCTAGGGATAGGGTTCCAAAAACCTTAGATAAAATTTCAAGTTAATTCTTGTATAAGGATAGAATATAGTTTATTCTTGTACTTTGATTTGATTGTTAGTAAATTTATCTCCCAATTCGATAGAAGTATCCAAATTGGGATCATGGATTTTTTTTTCTCCAATTGGACTTCTTCCCTTAACTCTTTATTTTATCAGAGTGTGTTTTTAAATTGCAAAATTTTCTATAAACGCAATTCATCCCTGGGAGCAACAAAACCATCTTAAGAGATAATGCTAGGACATACAAGCAAACTAGTTTTTTTTTTTTAAAAAAAAAAACTAGAGCCAGCTGAGCTCCAACATATTTATCGAAATAAGAACTTCACCAGTACTTGAACAGATTTATCGAACAAATAATAGAATTTGGAAAGATATCCGATTCTGTACACACCCCAATATTTTGGGTTCTGTTCTTAGCAATAACACCGGCCTTCATACACAAACAATACCTATCCTTCTACAAACAAAAGCCGACCAAAAACCAAAGCATATGAAAAAAAATAAAAAAAATAAATGTGCAAACCCCTTTGCAATGCTCATCTGAGGTAGGCAAATTCAAGAATCTAAAAAGCTATGGAAATAAATAAATAAATAAATACTAACACTTTATACATCCCGGTAACCCACTGATTCTCAATAAGAATCCGTGATTGGGTCATGACTGCTGTTACCCTCAGCTCTCTTCTCTAGAACCCTGAATCTCACTCCTGTCTGTGTCAGAATATTCCTTCTGGGATTCAATTTCTGCACTACCCCCTCTATTTCTTCGGTGCCTTCGGTCCTGAAAAATGAATGAGATCAAAAGTCAGCCTAAAAACATATGATAAAACCATACATTAGGCAAGATGAATTACACACTTCATTAGAGGAGTTACAAGCCACGGTAGTTTGGCTTGGCAGTTGGAACAAAAAACATTAGTAAGCTTTTTGATGATTTTTACTATTTATTACCTAACACAGGAAAGGAAAATAAACAAAACAACATTGAGTGTATTCGTGATAAGTAGAGGGCAGCAGAAACAACTAAAAAGGTGACAAAAAGGTTGGAGGACTTAAAATCATGACAAAATGGGGAAAACAAACCTCTCTTGGTAAAGGGTATTCCTCTGACTCCAGCATACGTACAACTTGGCCCATCTTGGGCCTTTTCTCAGAATCTGGATCTACGCATCTTAAAGCAGTTAAGAGTGCCCTTTTTAAAGCTCTGGTTGATGGCTTCACCTCAACGTTTGGGTCCACCACTTCTTCTGATCTCCTGTTTCCAACCATCATCTTCAACCAATCAACCAGATTCACCTGAGAGCATTGCAGTTTCACGGAACAGGTCGGTCAAAACTCTTGATCAAAAGTTGTCATGTAGATATAAGTAACTAAAAACACACAATTCTCGTTAACAATAGAGTAAAAGGTCCTGAAGCGGGATATTTATAGTCTTCAACAGAAACTAATCCTCTTATAATTATCGCAGGTGCCAGGCCAGAGTTCATATACTGTCTAGTTAAACTGGACGTGATCATGAACTTTTCAAATTATATCCAAAATTTTGAGGAGCCCAACTGTCTATCATGTTAGAGCATTTTCAACTTTAGGATGTTTTATATTTGGCAGGGTAACGAATTTAGCTTCGTAGGAGGGTATACCTCATAGTAATAATAATATAAGTAGAACAGTGAGAAATTCTTAGGTGCTCCCAAAGAAAAAAAGAAAAAAAGTTACAGTAATGTATCATTCAATGTATGCCATCTCATCTGTAACATTCAAAATGTTGTTAAAGTGGAAGACAGCAATGACCCTCAAAGCTGAGGTAGTGAATAGTATAGAGAAGGAACTTTTTCATGTTCAAGGAGAACCTAAGAATTTCTCGTAGAATAGTTATTACATTAAAGAACGTGCAAAGAAGATAGTCACTAGCATTGTTGAGAATGTCAGTGCTATTTGTGTCTCCTGATTTTTGAAGGGGACGAGATAGGAATAGACCAACCCTACAGGTGTATTCTAGGAAAGGTCCTAGGAAATCCGGACCATCCCAAGTGTGCATAATAAATGAAGGGATTTCATTATGGGTGATTCGGTATTTAATTATGGGTATCATCATTATGGGTGATACTGTACTAATGGGTATCAATCATTAGTGATTTTATATTAATTATGGGCATCAATCATTATGAGTGAGTCAGTATTAATAGTATCAATCAGGCCCTTCCTAAACTACACCTGTATGGTTGGTGTATTCCTATTCCAACTTGCAATTTTGATCCACCCAATAGTGTGTGCCCTATAACCTCCCCTTCTCTCATATTTATCACAGATTCCCCATTAATATGGAATCGCCCATAATGATTTATACACATAATTAATACAAAATCACTTCATGATATATACCAATCAATACAGAATCACCCATAATTAATATTGAATAACCAATAATAAAATCCCCTCACTTATTATGCACTCTCAACATCAGAAGGGCCTAAACCCCTACGGCCCTTCCTAGAATACACCCTTAGTGTTGCTGTATTCCTATTATGTCACTTCAGAAGCAAATATTAACTTTAACTCCTATTACTGTTTTAACAAGTAGTCAATTAATTTTTAACCATAATGTACCAATGATTTTCTTTTATTCATTATTTTGGAGAAAATAATTAGAGATCATACATCATTCATACAGTAGAAGTTGAAAACAGAATGGTATATATTTTCATATGAATAAATATATTGTTAAAAGCATCTATCCATTAATGCAGAACCACTCCTAAACATTGATACCCATAATTAGTACCGAATCACCCATGATAAAATCTATCCGCCTATTATGCACACTCAGTAAGGGAAGGATCTAATCCCCTATGGCCATTCCTAGAATACACCTGTAGGGTTGGTGTATTCCTATCAGGTAGCTTCAGAAGTGAAGATTAACTTTAACTCCTATGGCTGTTTTAGCAAGTAGTCAATTAATTTTTAACCATAATGTCCCAATGATTTTCTTTTCTTTAGCATTGGGAGAAAAAAATTAGAGATCATCGATCGTTCATGCAGCAGACAATTGAAAAGAGAATGGCATATATTTTTCATGTGTATAGATATGTTGTTAAAAACGTCTAGCTAGGAGAATTACGGCAATTTTTTGGGCAACATCCGGCTTGAAGTTGACTGGCAAAAGATAGAAGTGTTTTATATCTAAAACACATGTTAAGATTAGCAGCAAATACACAGCACAACTATGCAAATTCTTTATTACTGCAATTGGTGAAAACAAACACACATACTTCAAGCTGGATGTTGAGCCCAAGATAAAAATAAGTTTTCTCACTTCATTTGTTGGCCGACCATAGTCAACTGGATCTCTTCCAGTAATTCCTTCCAATAGCAAAACACCAAAGCTATAAACATCACTCTTTTCATTTAGAAGGCCAGTATTTGCATATTCAGGAGCCACGTATCTGAGAAATATATAGAGCAAAAAAGAATATAAGAACATATTTTCTTATGAAAGTTTAACAATATTGAGCATGGGAAAAGTTCATCACTCGAAAGGGCAGAGCATAAAATACTGACCCAAAGGTTCCCATAACTCGCGTAGTGACATGACTTTTCCCAGCACCCAATAACTTGGCCAGGCCAAAATCAGAAACCTTGGCATTGAAGTCATCATCAATTAATATGTTGCTTGACTTGATATCTCGGTGCACCACCTTGGGCTCAATTGCTTCATGTAAATATGCAAGCCTGAAACAAGTATATTGCTTTATATGAGGGACTAAGAAAACCAAAAGAAGCAGAGATGCAGATACTCACGCTTTGGCTGTGCCAAGGAGAATCTTTATACGTGCTTCCCAGGTAAGATATCCATGGTGTCGCATAGCTCCATGAAGCCATTGCTCCAAGTTTCCATTATTGACATACTCATAGACTAACATCCTGAAAATATACCCCACATAGGATCAGATATGTTCAGTGAACCTGAGATTGACCTCACCATCAGGTAGCAAATTAATGACAGTGCAATTCATACCACGATTACCATTTATTCAGGCAACAATTATTTAAATTATCTAAACAGGACATTTGAGATCACAAATGTGGAGATGGGACTATACAGTAATTGAGAATTGGGGTACCTGTGAGTTCCCTCAATGCAGTATCCCAAAAGGCGAACCAAGTTTTTGTGTCGGACATGGCCAATAGCTTCAACTTCCACTCTAAATTCTTTCTCTGCTTGACCACTGCTAAACAAAAATGCTTAAGAGTTCAATTTTCAGCAGAATTGAGAGGAATTAGAACAAAACAATTAAGGTAACTAGCCTGGACATTGTACTAAAACTCACATGTTATTGAGTATCTTTTTAACTGCCACTGGAGTCCCATTGACCAACTGTCCCCGATAAACAATTCCATACCCACCTTCACCAAGGACATTTTCTTTGGAAAAACGGTTTGTAGCAAGTTCAAGATCCCTCAAGGTAAACCAGTGACCCCAACCCAAGTGAGAAAATTCTGGAAGACCAGACAGAGGTGAAGGAGCTGTTATAGGGTATGAAGAAGAGTGCCTATACACTGTAACCGTGCCAGAGCTACCTTCTTCTCCTGATTGTGACTGTGACCCACCTCCATCTTTCTCTACTTGATGAAATGAATCGGAATGACTGCTTCTATCCCCATTCTTCATTTTCCCCACACCTAAATGAACCATGACTTTGTCTGATTCCTTGTCACTGGATTTATCATGAATGGTAAGAAGTATTCCATCACGAGGACTAAATCCATTGGTTGACACTTGCTCAACCCGCACTTCCTTGATTTCCTTTGACACACTTGGTATTTGACTAAGAGGAACCTTTTCCTTGGCTTTTCTAGATTTCTTCCTTGAAGTAAGGCAAAGTGAGAGCGCAGAGAGGATGACAATAATAGACAATCCAACTGCAATTCCAATTACTTCCCAAACCTTGAGACCAAAAATTGGAGTTTTCTTCGATAATTCAGCATTCAGATTAGAACCCATTTCTTAGAAAGCCTTGATACCTACCTTCAATATGTAATACAAAATAAAAGATAAGCAATTAAATCATACAACTACACATATTCATCAAACACTTGTGTATTAAACAGATTGGAAGGACAAGGTACGAGGAAACACAAACATGAGATTAAAATTAACTCAATGAAAACAAAATACACAAACAAGCTATAAAACATTCATAGTCTTACTCTTTACCTATATACACACATAAAGTGACAACCCTCAAATCCCAGATCTCAGAAATAGCCCCATCATAAACTAAGAGGCTCAAACAGTGGAACAAACTGAAAAGGCCAGATCTTTGAGACCCCCCGAATCTAGAGAGGTGTCAGCAAAAGCAACTATGCCTAAATAGGTGAAAATACAAATCCTATGTCTATGTGGGTTTAGTGGGGAGTGGAAAATGTGAGTGTAAATCTAAGCTGGGATAGAGCTATCTGAAGAACAAAAAAACACAAAGAAAAGGTGGTGGGTGTGGTCGTGGTCGAGACAGAAGGAGATGGATTAGAAATGTGAGTGATGATAAAGAGGAAGGGACAGAGTTATCAGTGGTAGGTGATGAGTTTTAGAATAGATGCCTTACAACGCATGCATATGCTTATAGTTATAAACATCCATTTTCATTATCGAATTCGGTAATGTAAGGTAAGGTAAGGTCCTCTTCCTCTTCGGATTTCCCTCATCTCTCATCAACCTCACTTATTATCCCTAATCAAGGGAATTATTTGTTTAAGGGATTCTTTTTTTTTTTCTTTATTCTTTTTTTTACTTTTATTGATAATTCATTCTAACAATGTTATCTTGTTTTGAATTTATTTTTTATTTTTAAAATATATTTTCAAGATTGTTCAATTGCAATCTGTATTTTGTATCATTTGACCCATCTTTTGTATCATGGATTTATCGAAACGTAAAACACAAAAATATAAAATAATTTAAAAATATATAATATAATTAATATCATATAAATTCAAATTCCAAAAAATCGTTCAATGGTTTTGATTGGATTTGCTAGGAAGCTTATAGCTTGTGAATGATTTTCAAAATCAAAATCTGTGCTAAATTTTTTTGACTTGGCAAGGCTAAAGCAAAATCGGTAAAAATATTTGGAAAGACATTTTTTTTTTTTTTGTTTACGCAATCTTGTGTTGCTTTAATTTGAGTTAATTTTTTTTATTGATTTATTTTTATTCTAAAAAATGAATAGATTTATAATATTTCTTTAATTATTTTATTTATTAATACATATTTTTTAGATTGATTTTTGAGTTTAAATCATAAATCAAACCTTTATTTTCTTTTTCTTATTAATAATAATTTTTTAAATTTTTTTAATTTAAATCACAAATCAATTTTTTTTATATTACAAAGTCTAAACATTGATTTAATTTTTATATTGTAAGATACACGAATACACGATATAGTATCGATGGTCCGATACAACTTCCTTTCCAATACACCTCCTCGATATGTATTACTGAATTTGTAAATCGTATTATATCATACAATACGTATTGTTGTGTATCGTATGATATTGATAACTATATATCTTTTACAATAAAAATTCAAATGACATAATTATAACCATTAAGAAAAGAATTCCAATTTCGATCTTTTTTGGCATAATTTTTCTTCTGGTTTTTTTCCGCTTTTATTTAGGTTGATGGAGCTGAGTTGTCAATTTATTATCCGTCAAAATACAGTAATAATAATAATCATAATCATCAAATTATTTTCCTAAAATTTTCAGTTAATCGCATATTCATTTTAGATTTAGAGTTTATTCTCAATTGTTAATAAAATATAAATGACTTTTGATGATTTATTATGTAGTAAATAATTATTATCACCTTTTACGGCTATTTAACAGTTATAAAAGACGAAGAATATAATAATTAAATATAATTTAACATGTCTAAATTCAACGCTAAACAGCCTGATCATTGTAGCTCTAGTTAGTTAGTTTTGTTTTGGCATTCTGGCCAGTGGCCAGTAGGAGAAAAGAAATGCATTTTGCGTGGAATGATAAAATATTAAAGTTATATAGTTTTGAAGGGTTTTTTCCCCCTAAAATTTATTCAGGAAGAGACTTAATTCTTATGTAAGTTTAGGAAATACTATCACTTTCAGTGAAAAGTTATAGTAAACTTGTTTATCACTTGTCAATAAATTAATTGTCACAAAATCAAGTTCAAATTCTTAACTTTTATCCAAAATTTTAATATTTATGTAAATAAATTTATCATTTAATAAATTTCTAAGTATAAAAGTAATATTTAAAAGATTCTAACTTTTTCAAATTGTTATTATAGTCATTAATTTTTTTCTTTCCTAATGTGATACATATGGTTGGATAAATAACAAAAATATTTTTTTAATAAATAATGGAAAAAATTTCTTTAATCATAATCACAGTATTTTTATAATATATATAATCTTAATCTTAATATGATGTTGACATGAGCCGAAGCATGAATTATTATTTTCCCATCTTAAATAAAAAAAATTTACTATACTTTTCATGCAACTTTTATACGTAATTCATACAAAATATTGATTTCGATATTCAATCAGAATGAAAGTATTTTAAAAATAAGTAGCAGTATTTGTGACAGACACATTGACAATATATATGAGAGAAAACTAACAAGTCATCAAAAATTTAGGCAATTCCTCTAGATAATCAGACACTCATGCCCACCAAACCCTTCAAATCCCCTCATCCTATAGAGAAATTCTAAGCTAAGTAGAGACCAGAGAGTAATACTTTCAGCTGTTAAGATTTGATATTAAATGCTTTGAAAATAATTTAACTTGAATCCAAGAGCTTAATACATATATTCGGCCACATTAGAATGCAAAACACAAAGGACTTAATACATAATATTTTAATTACAAGGTGTCAGAATTATAATATTGTTTATACATAATTAGGGATGTAAATAGGTCAGACGGCCTACAGCTTTGCTTACCGTAGGTCTGACTTGGGCTGTTCTATTTTCTAAATAGAGCATGTTTAGACTTTTAGAAAAATTCATTTAAAAATTACGACATAATCCCACTTTATAATTTTTTAATATTATAATATATTTATGATATATATTATTCACTTCAAGACATATTCTAATATTATAATTTATAACACTAATTTTAAAGTAATAGGATTGATGTTATTTTAATAAATAATAAATATTTTATTTAAAATTTAAAATATAGTATTAAATTTTTCTTTGTATTCATAATATTAAATTAAATTAGTAAGGAAACTCCAAATTATATGTATATATACATGTATGAAATTTTCATGTGATTTTTATGAACATTTTTATGTGATCTTTATAAACATTATTTCATGTTTGTTAACGAAAATATTATTTCATGTGATCCTTGTGAATAATAAATTTTATCTTTTATATTTTAGTTTGATTTGGGCCTATAAACTTTAGTTTGTAATTTGGTAGGCTTTATAGGCCGTGTTAGGCTTTTTAATTTTTTATAACAGGTGAGGTCAGACCTATAAATTAAGCATTCAATAGATTAATAAGTCAGTATAGGCTCTAAATATTTTACATAAGCTTAAGCTATCAAAGTCAAAGTCTAGCCTAACATAATCCATTTAACAAATACTTTCATGTCAAATAATGCGTGTAAAAATAGCTATGCAAATAGCATCCCCAATATATAACCCAAAAATAAAAAATAAAATAGCATCCCTAATAAGGCCACATATGATATATCTGACAAATCTTTGCTGGCAATCGCATATTATTGGTCTATCTCATCTCCAGCACCTGATCTCAGTTCCATACATAATGTTTTGGGGACCACCCATTTTTGGATGCGGTGGACTAATTAACTATCTGCAAATCAAATGCAATACCTTAGAAGGATAGCTAAAGTGTATGTACTTATTCAATTAATTTCGTGGAGATTCGTGAATTGGTTTAATCAGTCTTCTAAACTCTAATAAATCCAAGGGATTATAATAGCAATGGCTTAGATTAGAAGAAAAAATGCACTACACATAATAATTTTATCCATTCCACTGTTTTTTTTTTTCCTATATAGAAAAAAGAAGAAACATTAGTCAATTATTATGCCCGTGAGGGACTGCATGCCTTCTCTTTAAAGGGCAGATACATTGATGGATGCCCAAAATTCAATCTACTAATAATAATGATATGCATAAACTTATCTGCTCCTAAGTTAGGCTAAAGGGTAGCCTTGACCAAAGAAGCCGTTGCACTACATGAAGACAAACAGACATTATTTCTGTGCATAACGACCAAAGAAGATACCCTTTTGTTCAATAATGTCTGGCCTAATCCAATGCACAGAAAGTGATCACAGGGAAATATTAGTAGGTGGAAATATATAGGTGCTACAAATTAAAGGTGGCACCGAAATGGTTCAGTTCTGTTTCTAATTCTTGTGATCTAAATCTTAAACATTAGATGATGTTTGGTTGAAAGGTAAGGGAAGGTCTTAAATTCTTTCACGAGTTGCACCTGTGTGGTCCATACTTATTCTGTGGTCAAAGGAAGCTAATCCCCGACCTAAACATCTCAGTCACAGAGCAAACATTTAGCTTTACATGCAAGAGGAGCATTGGCACATCTATTGTTGAAAAGGATATATTTTTTTTTAGTTATATTTTTATTAAAAAAATATCAGTGTCACATCAGTGCCAACACCATAGGAGATTGCAAGGGAAGATGAAAAAATGTATTGTTTGCTAAGCCAATATGGCAATATCCCCTATCCCTATGCATGGGAGAAAAGCTTAAAGCTATTGCACACCAACCACCAAAGAAACAGAAGAAAGAAAGGAGAAGGTCATATAAATTATAGTGTGGCACTAACTTCATGAGTGTAGTGCCGTAACTTATAGGTTCACACCATTATTATATGCGGGGGAATGTTATATTTACAAAAAATTTATTTACAAATTACATTATGTTTGACTGATCATATTTCAATTAAGAATGTATGACAGGTCAAATTTACTATAATTTGTAAAAAAAAATTATAAACAGGTGCTTTTCCATTATATATAACTGCATGTACAATCTCCGCACCCTCACCTTGATCCTAATTCAAAAATTACTAGAACTTGGTCTCAGTTGCGTAGAACAGATATAAGTTGCACACTTTCATTTTCCTTTTCCTAGGATTCTCAGTTTCTCACAAATCTGCCAACAAAATTTTCTATCACCCAAACTCGCGCTTTTAATTTCTTGTATGTCATGTTTCGATTGCATTATCTATTTTATTATCGGTAAGCATGAGAAGAAATCAGTTTCTCTAATATTGCTAGTTAGGACGTCATTGGGATTTCAAAGTAGAGGTAGAATTCATTTCTATTTCATTGTATGAATGCTATATAAATAACTTTATGATAAAAGAATCAATGACAATCACAATTAAAATGGATACCGTATTACAATATACAACTTTTTTGGGATAAAAAACATATTGCACATTTTATTTATTTTATTTTTTGTATATTTTTACTTATTAATACCGTATATGCAAATTTTTATATTTGTATTTATATTTATATATGAATCAACGAACCACACCACAAAATAAATTAAAAGATATGAGAGTAAATTTTCTCATGCATGTGTTAGTTAATATT